CCAACTGTCCGGGCAGTGCCAGCAGGGCGTTGGAGCTGAGGTCCAGGTGCTTAAGGGCCGGCAGTTTGCTAATAGTGGGGGGAATGTCAGCGATTTGGTTACAGTTGGCGTGTATTTCGCTTAAGTGCTGCAGCGATGAGTCCACACAAAGACTCGATGGAAATCGTGTCAACCGATTGCCCGACAGCTTCACGGATAGCAAGGACTTGAGTCCGGACAGGTCCGGGAGGTCCGCGAGCTGGTTGTGCTCCACGTTCAGGGTCTGCAGGGTTGCCAACTGGCCGATGGAGTCGGGTATGGATGTCAGCTGATTGCGGCTCAGGTCCAAGAACTTGAGTTTCGATAGCGAACCGATTTCGGCTGTAAAATAGAGGTTTGGATTAGTGTTTGTGGTATGAAGTGGTGGATCAGTTGCGGTGATCAGTGGTATGACTGACAGTGAGTGAGTGAATAGGGATTGCGAAAGAGTATGAGAGAGACTTAAGAGAGTGAGACAATGAGTGAGAGAGTATGACAGAGAGTATGAGAGAGACACCAGTCGTGGTAACAATGATAAGACAATGCATTACTGGGAACAGCTGTGAGGCCATTGCTGTGGAGGACCAGCGACTGCAAGGCCTCCAAACACCTGACCATCGGTGACAATGTGGTAAACGGCTCGCATCGGATCACCTCCAAGAAGTTCAACGACTTGATGGCGAACACCAGCTCCGACAACACCCCTCCCTCGGCGGTCACCTGTTTGCCAATCTTCTGGCCATTAAGCAACAGCTCCCGGGCCTCCCGGTTCGCCAACTCCATCAACTGTGTCCGGTAATCGCTATCGGCTGACATCCCTGGCCTCCCTGTCCACTCGCGAGCTCTTGATATCAATGGGGAAACTGTGGCAAAAGTTTTGAAAACTTTTTTTGCGTTGATTTTCAATGCGATTAACGAAACGCGTGTTTAATCGGAGATCCGATTCACCACTGAATGTGTGAAACGTTTTGTTTTTGTATTGCAAACCAATGCCAACGTGTTTGGGATATACAGTGCACTATAGCCACCCTTATATGACTGATACCCTGGTCATGTAAATTGGTTTTATGACTTAACTAGTTTCATAATAATTTATTCCGTGATTATTAATTCTTAATTTTGTTCAATTAAAATATTTTAGAAAAGTTGCATGTGTAGTTTTAATAATTAGTGTAGTATATAACGAGTGTAGACTGTATTAATAATTTAAATATTGTTTTTTAACTGAATAGTTGCCATAAATAGTTGGGCCCTTTTCATTGCCAGTTAATATGGTTTTCTATATGAGTTGGTGTATAGAAAAGTGCTAAATCTCTTAGTGACAATCCCATTGTGTGTATGATAAGTAATAACGTCCATAATTAGTTTAAAAGTTAATTCTATTCTATTAAATAAAAATTAATTAGTAAAATTGACCATATTGATTTATTAAAATTAACTTTAAAACGTACCTTAAAATTAAGTGCTAAAATTAATTAGAAAAAAACTTTACTGTCCACTAATTTATTTAATATTAAACTTTGTATCATATCTGATATCCAATTATGAATTAAAAATGAATTACGTCAAAAATATGCATTTATCAACAATATTGTTGCATGCTAAATAAATAATTAACTAGGGCACTTCCCTATTTAACATACCCCCTTAAATATCACTATTCTAAAATAACCAATTTAAAAATCTATTAAGCTAGGTTACACGCGAGATAAATGAATGAAAATCTAGCCGAATCAAATTTATATGACGTATTAGCTGGCTCACCCAAAATAATAACCATACAGGCAGAGAGTAGAAATTGAAGTCAAACCNTTTCACTCCAAATACAAAAAATATACACAAAATATACACAAAATTATTACGAGAGAGAGATATAGAGAGGGAGAGAAAAATCAAATATCAAAAAAGTGCTGCCAAACCATGTATAGCATACTCGCTGTACTATTATAGCGCGCTATTGCAGTGCCAGTATTTTATGTAACAGGCAGACATCAAAAATATTTTTCATATATTAAGGCGATATTTATAATAAAGTGTATGTTATTAAGTACTCCCAAAAAATGACAATTCATTGCGCAATATGAACTATGTATATGCGAGCCTACCAAAATAATTTTCTAAATTATTGTGTGCTAAGCTGATTTAAATCTAGTGTAAACTTTATGTGGACCAACACCAAACTATTTTTATCATCAGTGTACAATTGTTTTTGTAATAATTAAACGTTTTGTATGAATAAACATATGAAAAAACAATAATAAAAATATTATTATTAATATTTTGCAGTTGTATTGTGTGAACGCTAATTAAAAATTAACAATAATATCACCCACATAATTCCCTCCAACCAGTGAACTATCAACGCAAACAACAATTAACTCAACCCATAGACACCAAGGTCTACCACATCCCGAGTGATCTGGCACAAAAATCGCCAAAAATTTAATTAATTGGTGAGGGTCACTTACAAATAATTGTGTTTATACT